GGAAAATATGACAATCAATGTCAATGTGTTTGGTCCGCTCATGGAACATAGGATTGGAGGCAATGTGATGGGCAGCTTGATTGTCACAGTGAAGGGTGATTGGAAACAAATTTGAGAAGCCAAGTTCTTTGAGTAATTGGACCAACCAGATGACTTGACAGACGGTAGAGGCCATAGCTTTATATTCAGCCTCTAAGGAAGACTTTGAAATAGTAGCTTGGCGCATAGACTTCCAGGAAATGAGAGAAGAGCCAAGAAAGATGCAAAAACCAGTAACGAATTTCCTTGTCATTAAGCAAGAACCCCAATCAGAGTCATTATAGGCTGATAAAGACAGAGTAGTATGAGCAAGAAAGAATAAACCAAGTCCAAGAGTTGATTTCACATATCTGACCACCTTTAGAGCAGCTGCCATATGGGATTGCTTGGGCTGATGCATAAACTGACTTAATAGGCTGAGTAGCTAAGATCTGGCCTAGTCATACAGAGGTACAACAGCTTATCTATCAATCTTTGATAAACAGTTGGATCCTCAAGGAGATTATCATGCTGTGCACTGTTAGAAGGAAATTGATGGTCATAGACTACTGAGGTAAGCTTAATATTGGACTCCATGGGAACCAAGGATGGTTTAGAACCTGATAAACCTAACTCCGAGATAAGTTCCAATGCATATTTATGTTGACAGATGCTGATTCCTTTAGATGATCGAGCTATTTCAAATCCTACGAAATATCTCAATACACCTAAATCTTTCAACTTGAAATTGTTGTGCAGCAGTTGCTTAGTTTGACTGAGCAAAACTGGATCATTACCTGTTATCACAATGTCATTTACATACACAAGGAGCATGACAACGTGAGACTGATTTCTTTTGATAAACAGGAAGTAATCTGACCTAGACTGCTGGAAACCACCATCCAAAAGGGTTGTAGTCAGCTTAAAATTCCAGGCTCTAGAAGCTTGTTTCAACCCATATAAAGATTTATGAAGCTTCCATACAAGCTTCTGTGCCCCCCCCCCCCCCCCTTCCGCGATTTTGGAAAACCCTAGGGTAAGGTCATGTAAATATCTTCTTAGAAGTCCCCTTGCAAGAAAGCATTGTCCACATTAAGTTGATAAAGCGGCCAATTATTCATGGAAGCCAAGGCCAAAACTGTCCGAACAATAACCATTTTGACCACCGGAGAGAAAGTCTCTGCATAATCGATCCCAGCGTGTTGTGTATACCCCTTAGCAACCAAACATGCCTTGTATCTATCTAGGGTGCCATCGACCTTGTATTTAAGTTTGTACACCCATTTGCAACCAATGGGAACCTTTCCAGGGGGCAATGATACTAAAGACCAGGTGTGGTTAGTTTCTAATGCTTGAATTTCTTTTTTGCATGGCATTGACCCAATTCTGATCCTTAGAGGCTTGTGTGAAAGAGGTAGGTTCTACCAAAGAAAGATTGGACAAGAAGGCTTTGTATGAAGGGGACACATTAGCATAGGACACAAAATTGGTAATGGGATAATGAGAAACATTGGTTGTAGGATTATTATGTATTGTACGGCAAACAAAATCTTGTGTCCAAATGGGAGGATTGGTAAGTCTACTAGATCTTCTAAGAGGGGGTGGTGAAATTTGAGGATTATTAGACACATGAGGAGTTGAATAAACTGGAACAGAACTAGGTGAAATAGCAGTGTCTGTAGTCTGGACAGATGGAGAACCAAGACAAGGAGAAGAATTAGTTTGAGTGGAATCTGTTGAAGAAGACTGAACTGATTCTAGAACAAGAAAATCTGAATCTATGGGAAAAGGATTCAAGGAAGGTTTTGGCAAAGTGAAAGGGAACACATGCTCATAGAAAAAAAAACATCATGGGCAACAAAGACAATGTGAGTGGATAAATTGTATAGGATATACCCTTTTTGTGTAAGGGAATACCCCAAGAATACTGAAGGTGCAGCTCTAGGATGCAATTTGTCCTTAGAAGATAAGATTGTAGCATAGGCTAAACATCCAAAAACCTTGAAATGATCCAAAGATGGTGGATTGGCCAAAAACTTGTCAAATGGTGACTGGCCTTTAAGGACTGCAGTGGGCAGTCTGTTAATAATGTATACAGCAGTTTGGACGCAGTATCCCCAAAAATGAGTGGGAATGTTGGACTAAAATTTTAAAGCCCTAGCAACCTCTAAGATGTGCCTGTGCTTTCTCTCAACAATGCCATTTTGTTAAGGGGAATAAGGACATGAACTTTGATGAATGATGCCTTGACTACTTAGGAGATCATGACAGGTTTTGTTAAAGAACTCTAAACCATTATCGGTTCTAATGCACTTTGGGATCAAACTATATTGTGTATGGACCATGCGAAGGAAATGTTTAATAGTACAATAAGTGTCTGACTTGAATTGCATAAGAAACAACCAAGTAACCCTAGAGAAATCATCTACTATAGTGAGAAAATATCTTGCATTGCCATGTGTAGGTGTTTTGTAGGGACCCCATACATCCATATGTAGTAAATCAAAAAATTTCTGTGTTTGAGATGTACTATTTGGAAAAGGTGTTCTAGTTTGTTTAGCTAGAGGGCAGATAGGACAATGTATATCTGTTTTAGACTTTGACAAACTAGGATGAACAAGTGGCAAAACAGAATAAGAAGCATGCCCTAACCTTTGATGCCATAACTCAAAATGATTAGATGATGATAATGAAAGTAAAGAAACAGGCATTTTATTCAAATTCATTTCAAAAGGTACAATCCGTGATGACTTTACAGTATGGAAAACAACCTTATTCAACTATCCTAAATCTAATACAAAAGAAAAAATTTTTTATTTTGAATCAAAAAGGTAAAGACCTTGCCTATGCTTACCAATCCCCTTAAATTTGCCATTGCAAAGATCCTAAATGAGGCAAAAATTAGGATAAAAAGTAACAAAACAATTGTTAGAGTTAAGAGACTGAAAGTAAATTGTGATGGAAATCTGGAACATGCAGGACATTTGACAAGTGTAAAGTACTGTCCATAACTATAGATCCTACATGTTTAACATAAGTCTTTGTTCCATTAGGTAATCCTACAAGGTATTTTGTAGAAGGTTCTACAGTAGTGCATGACTGTAAGATAGAATGGTCAAATGTCATATGGTCAGATGCTCCAGTATCAATTATCCATCAACTTTTATCAAGATAAGACATCAGGGCAACAGAATTACCTGCTAGGTTCGTAGCTGGCGGAGAAACATTCTCCTTTCCTAGCAGTTGAAGGATATGGTTGTATTGCTCAGCAGTCAAAACAGGACCAACCATCGACTCTGAATTCCCAATGCTTGATCCCGAATTTCCAATATCCAATGGTTTCGAAGTGTGCACCTAATTAGCAGTGGCTTTTGACTTAGAGTTTCCTTTTCCTTTAGTAAATTGATAGTCAGATGGATAACCATGTAGCTTGTAACAATTGTCACGTTTGTGTCCAAGAATATGGCAAAATTCACATTCAATATAAGGTTTTTTTCCGTTATATTTTTGGCCCTGACTCTGATTTTTCCCATTTCGAGTATGATTGGCATAAGGTGCAGTACTTATCTCTAGATTCAAAGTCATTCTTGCCAATATTTTATGGCTTTCATCTTGATTGGCCACTGAATAAGCCTGTTTGACACTCGGTAAAGGGTTAATTAGCAAGATTTGGCTTCAAACCATTGAATAAGACTCATTTAACCCCATTAAAAACTACAATAGCTTCTACTGCTTTAAGTGCTCCAGATATGCCTTTGCTAAGACATTATCAGGTGCAGGGAGACTGGCCAAGGAATCCAGCTCATCCCACAATGAATTGAGCTTGCTGTAGTAGCTAGCTACTATATTAGTTCCTTGAGTCAGATTAGAAATTTCCCGATATAATCCAAAAACTCTAGTCCCATTCACTTTGTTGTACTGCTCCTTCAAATCTTGCCAGACTTGTGCAGCACTTGTGGAGTAAACTATACCATTAAAGATCCATGCAAGTACTATTGAGTTACATCTCTCCCATTGTGGAACCAAGCTAGGATGTACAGTCGATTTTGTGCAAATACCATTAACAAATCCGAATTTGTTTTTGGCACAAAGAGAGACTTTCATGGCTCAACTCCAAATGTTATAATTATCAGTTCCGACGAGTTGCTCAGAGACCAGTATAGAGCCCAGTGTATCCGATAGATGAACATACAAGGGCAAATTGGAGTCAATCGTCCGAATAGTTACTTCTTCTGTCAGTGTTGCCATATCGATTAACCAATACCAAAATTGATTGTTCCAAAATCAAGTTCAAGTAGAAATCAGCAAAGAATTCAAGTTGAATCAAACCTAAATCAAGATTTTAAGCTAAAACAAAAAAACCTAAAATCCAAGATTTCGAACTAGAAATTCAAGGAATGAAATAAAGAAATCAGATATTTAAGCTTGAATGAGCTTAGCTAAAGTACAGAGGATTGATTCGAATTGACCCATTTCCCAAATTAAGGCTGAATCTCCTATGCTCTGATACCATTAATAAAGCAAGAAAAGAGAGTTTTGAAATGTATTTTGGGAAAATGAAGTCATACTTTACTAATGCATCACTGTTTCTTTATATACAATAGCTAAGTTTGAGTTAACTAACTCAACTTCTCTAAAACTAACTAAACAACAATAAACTAACTAAACTACAGTTAGCAATAAATTACATAAATGTCCTATATATCTAATAGGTTTATTGAAAATCATGATACTTGTGAGCTGAATTGTATTACTTGTGAGCTTGAATTTAGATTATTAATTAACAGTTTGACCTTTAGATTAGACAAAAAAAAAAAAAATGGTTTTCAGAGGAAGTACCGCGCCGAAATCCGCATGATTCACACCGACCTTTGAATAAATTACAAATGACAATAGCATGTGTGTAATATAAATACTAATTTATAATTAGATCAATGTTCTACGATATCAAGTGGAAAAATATTTTAGTGCAGAGATTTCAACTATCTTCAAACTTGTAAAGGCCATGTCGCAAGAACAAGAAGATGAAGAAGTGGGCAAGCTAGCCATCAGGTTAGCAAATGCCTCGATTCTTCCCATGGTCATGAAGTCGGCCATCGAGCTCAACCTCATAGACATCATTTCGGCCTCCGGTGATGGCATATTCCTCTCACCTTCTGACATCGCAAGTAGGCTCCCCACCAAGAACCCTGACGCCCCCGTTTTGCTTGACCATATGCTACGGCTCTTGGCCAGCTATGATATACTCAAATGCTCGATTAGAACTGGAGAGAATGGAGAAGTTAAGAGATTGTACGGTGCTGCACCAATTTGCAAGTTCTTTGTTAAGAATGAAGATGGAGGGTCGCTTGGGCCTTTGTTGCAACTGCAACAAGACAAGGTTGAACGAAATAGAGACAACAACAGGAACAAAATAATAATAGTAAAACAAAACAAACAGTAAACAAAGAAAATAATATGCGCGATTTACCCTGGTTCACCCAATGTGGGCGACGTCTAGCTGAGTCAATATTATTGCAATATGCCTCACCTCTCTCGTTTACAATGAATGAATTGCTCTCACACACATAACAAGAGAAAAGTATGCTTATATACAAGGTTTAAGAGATTAAACCTAGTTTTACAAGGATTCATATTCCTAAGCCCAACCCAAAAAGGAATTAGTAACTTAAAAGAAATCCTACAGCGGTTATACATGGAAAAGCCCAAAACCGCCTACGGGCTCGGGGGCGCTGCCCCCGCGACCCCCGCCTGACCCCTGAGTGCGTCTCCGTTACCCATTAATGCTGAAGTAGTCGACAACTCCAACATTCTCCCACTTGGCGAATACTTCACACAATGAAGGCCTACCTTATCAACACACCATGTAAACTTTGCTAAGCTCACAGCCTTGGTAAGAAAATCTGCAGCATTAACAAGTGTATCAACCTTCTCTAACAACACCAATTTTTCCTCCACCTTTTGCCTGATGAAATGGTATTGTATGTCAATGTGTTTTGATCGCGAATGAAAGGCAGGATTCTTGGCTAAGTAAATAGCCCCTTGATTGTCACATCCAATCTTCACAGCATCAAGCTTGAAACCAAGCTCTAAACTCAATCTTCGAAGCCACATAGCTTCCTTGCCAGCATGTGTCAATGCCATGTATTCTGCCTCAGTCGATGACAAAGCCACAGTACTTTGCCTTTTACTCATCCAACAAACAGCAGCACCAAATAAAGAGAATAGATACCCACTTGTGGAACGCCTACTATCGAGATCACCTCCCCAATCAGAATCCACAAAACCTATCACATCTAGCTCATCCCCAGTCGCCATGCCTCCATAACATAATGATAAATCCGAGGTCCCACGAAGATATCTAAGAACCCTCTTTACAGCACTCCAATGCTCCTTACCAGGATTTGACATAAAGCGACTCAAAACTCCCACTGCTTGTGCAATATCGGGTCGCGTGCACACCATGGCATACATCAAACTACCTACAGCACTCGCATATGGTACATGTGTCATTTCTTCAGCATCTTCCTCAGACTTAGGACACTGATCAGTAGACAATTTCACTCCCAAAGTCATAGGAGTCTTCACAGGTTTGCAGTCTACCATGTTAAATTTCTTCAACACCTCCTCGATGTACTTTCTCTGCCCTAACCACAATTTACAACTCTGACGATCTCTAGTAATTTGCATACCCAAAATAAAATTTGCAGCCCCAAGATCCTTCATGTCAAATTGTGCAGCCAACAAACCCTTCACAGAATTTATCAACTCCTTGCTATTCCCTATCAGCAACATATCATCTACATATAAGGTTAAAATAACAAAGACATTTTCTAACCTTTTTACATACACACAGTGATCCACGTTGCTGCGGCTAAAACCATGCTGAAGAACATAGGAGTCGAACTTTTGGTACCACATCCTTGGTGATTGTTTAAGCCCATACAGAGACTTCTTCAACCTACACACCAAGTCTTCCTTCCCTTTACATACAAACCCCTCAGGTTGCCTCATGTAAATTTCCTCCTCTAAATCTCCATGTAGAAATGCCGTCTTTACATCAAGTTGTTCAATTTCAAGATCAAACGCAGCAGCAATAGATAGAACATACCTGATTGATGTTAACTTGGCCACAGGAGAGAAAATCTCACCATAATCAACACCCTCAATCTGCGAGAATCCCTTTGCAACGAGTCTCGCCTTGTACTTTGCAATTGTCCCATCTGCCTGCAACTTTCTTTTGAACACCCACTTGCAACCAATTGCCTTTCTATCTTTAGGCAATTTACATAGGATCCATGTATTATTCTTGTCCAGTGACTGCATCTCATCATTCATCGCAACCTCCCACAGATTTGCATCTTCCATGGCTCTTGCTTCATTTACATTCCTAGGTTCATCACCAATCACATTCAAAGCATGTAATCCACTCAATGCACTTAGAGAGAAACGAACTGGTGCCTTTCTAACTCTTGTAGATCTCCTCAAAGTTGATGGCACCACAACTTCATCATCAGAATCATCCTCAAAATCATCCACAGAACCCTCATCAGCCACACTATCAAGTTTATCTTCATGGTCAGATTCTATAGACTCTAAATTTTCAGTCTTTGCAGCAACATTAGGAGTCATCTCCTCCTCTTGCTCTACTGTAGTCACATCAAACTGAATTTTCTTTGACTACTCAAGATCTTCAAGAGTTCCCACACGTTGTTTTACCTCTCTAAAGATTACATCTCTGCTGTATATAATGCTTCTACTCACAGGATTCCACAACTTGTATCCCTTGATGCCATCCTTGAACCCCACAAACTTGCACTTCTCAGATTTACTGTCAAGCTTGCTTCTCTTCTCCTTTGGCACATACACATACGCATCACAACCAAAAACTCGAATAAAAGACAGATTGGGTTTCTTACCATACAAAGCTTCATATGGCGTCATGTCTTTAACAAAAGAAGTGAGAGACCGATTCTTCAAATAACAAGCCATCGCTGTAGCTTCAGCCCAAAATTCAGACCCCAAATCTGTCGTGTTCAGCATACATTTAGCCTTCTCTAACAGTGACCGATTGAGATGTTCAGCCACTCCATTTTGTTGAGGCGTGTAAGGTGTAGTTTTCTGCCTTGCAATTCCATGTGTCGCACAAAATTGCTCAAACTTACTAGAGCAAAACTCACCGCCATTATCAGTTCGCAAAGCTTTAATCTTCTTGTCAAACTGATTCTCAACTAAGGCTTTAAATTCCCGAAATTTCTCAAAAGCCTCAGACTTGCTGCGCATGAAATAAACCCAACAGTATCTAGAAAAATCATCAATGAAAGATACATAATACCTGGATTTACCAATAGATTCCACTGGAGTGGGCCCAAAAACGTCACTATGAATTAACTCTAGTATTTTTGTTGCTCTCGTGCCTGTCGATTGAAAACTAACTCGATTCTGCTTGCCTTGTAAACATTCATCACAAAACCCAAAACTCATGGAGCAAGAGAATCCCCATCATGCATACGGAGACTGTAGAGTTTCTTACGACGGAACAGCACGTTCACCAAAGACTTACTCAGATACATATTTTCCAGCTTCTGCCATAAACCCTTAGCCGTATCCTGATCCATCACATTTGTTAGAACAGAGTCCTCAAGACAGATGCGAATCAAACCTCTGGCTTTCCGATCCATCTTGTCCCATTCAACAAGTGCGGCACGATCAGTCGCTGATAATTCTCCTTCAGCAGGTTTAGAACCAAGCGTACTTGACAATCCAGTTCCAGACGTTTCACTCGTTGTAACAACGGCAGTCCCGACTATTGGCCTATCATTCATAATTGCACCCCACAGGTCCCTATCAACGAGTAGATCCTCCATCCGCAGTTTCCAAAGCTCGAAGCGTTTGCCGTCAAACTTCTCAATCTCAACCTTTGATCCCACCATCTCTAAATCACGATCTAACAGAACCTAGCTCTGATACCAATTGAACGAAATAGAGACAACAATAGGAACAAAATAATAATAGTAAAACAAAACAAACAGTAAACAAAGAAAATAATACGCGCGATTTACCCTGGTTCACCTAATGTGGGCTACGTCCAGCTGAGTCAATATTATTGCAATATGCCTCATCTCTCAGAGTGCGTCTCCGTTACCCATTAATGCTGAAGTAGTCGACAACTCCAACAAAGGTCACCACTCAGAGCTGGTATACTTTTGATTTTTAAAATCTAATATAATTTAACTGCATATAACTATTATTTTGTTTGAGAGTTGAGTTAAATTTTGGATTCTTTAATATTTGTTGTCAGGTATCACCTAACTGATACTGTCCTAGAAGGTGGAAATCCTTTCAACAGGGCATATGGGATTAGATCTGCATTTGAATACATAAAAATGGATCCAAACCATGGCCAGTTATTAAACAAAGCCATGTCAAACAACACTACCTTGATCATGAAGAAGATGGTTGATGTCTACAAAGGATTTAAAAATGAAGGCCTCAAAGTGTTAGTAGATGTGGGTGGTGGGATTGGATCTAATCTTGGTATCATCACTTCTAAGTATCCTCACATTAAAGGCATTAATTTTGATTTGCCTCATGTTGTAGCTCATGCACCTCCAAAATTAGGTATCATGAGTATCATCTTATATTTCTTAAATTCCTTTATTTATTTGCTCATCAGATGATAACCAGATCTATGTAGGTGTTGAGCATGTTGGTGGAGATATGTTCACAAGTGTTCCAAAAGGCGATGCCATTTTTTTGAAGGTACGTGCATGCGCAGTATGTGAGTTTCGTGGTAATCTGATGGACAGTTAGCTATAGAACACCACCAGTTCGTTATTTTTGAAGCGTGTCCGAGAACACTAATCCATAGATGACAAACTGAATAAGTAAAAATAAATATAGTTTATTCTTCGTGTGTGTACATGTGTATATAATTCTATATATAGTCATGATGTCCTGACATATATTTATCAGAGGACCATGCCTATACACATTGAATCTGGATTGTAAATGTCATTTTAATCTAATTTAATTAATCCAAGGATGAATATATATGGTCCTCACTTAAATTATAGGATGTCTTGACTAGAGAATGATATATAGAATAAATCTCTAGTCAGGAAGTCCTGATTTTAATTTGTTAGAACTATGTATATACACTATTAAATCTGAATTGTAAAATATTATTTCAATCTCATAAAATAAATCCAACGGTGTATAACTATGGTCCTGACAAAGTTAATATCAGAACATCCTAACTAGAGACTTACTGTATTATACATATGCTGTGTATAGCTGTTTTGTTGATACGTAAAGATGAAACTTAATTGCAGGCGGTTCTACATGATTGGGGTGATGAAGATTGCTTGAAACTTCTCAAGAATTGTTGTGAAGCTCTTCCAAACTGTGGCAAAGTAATCATTATAGAATTGATTGTTCCTGAGATTCCTGAAAATAATGTTTCATCAAACATTGCCAGCGAGATAGATCTCTTAATGATGGTTGTCCACCCAGGAGGAAGAGAGAGGACACTTAAAGAGTATGAGGCATTAGCTGTGAAATCCGGATTTTCCAGGTGTGACGTGATATGTTGTGTATACAATAGTTGCGTTTTGGAGTTCCACAAATGAATCCATAATGAAAACAAGTCCCAGTCTTTGGTGCCATGTTAGTGATCAGTAATAAAGGTTTGAATTCCAGGGAGTTCATTGTTAAGTAATAAAAATAAGAAATTTATTTAAAAAATACTATATATGAAGGTCCCTGTGAGTGTGATTTTTTAAATCAATTAATATTTATTAGTTTTTACCATGTCTTTATTATGAACATTTCTCCTTTGTTAAGCAATAAAAAAGGCATGTCTTGCTATTTATTTATTTTTCCTTCTTTTTGTTAAATTAGGAGAAAAACTTACATGGGATAATCTTAGCACGTCATTTTATTGACATGATGACACTATCCAATACAAATTTGTCACATGTTATGAGTTGGCATTAAATTAAAATTTTAATATCATTTTTTTTTTCTCTCCTTCCCTTAGTTAAAGAAAATAAGATCATAGCGTTTTATAATATTTCTCATAACATGTGACAAACTTATACTGGATGGTCATACCACATTAATAAAATAAAATGACATGGTAAGACCATCCCATGTAAGTTTTTTCTCATTAAATTAGACAAATTATTTTTTTGGCACATTTAATAAAATTCATTAACAAAATTGATTGATAAATTTATTATATTTTATTTAAAGGTTAACCAATGTTCTTATAAATCCATTCTAAAACTCTTAAAGCCACATCTCTCTTCAGTCTATCAGGAGAATTCATTAGAAGAGAAGTTTTGTTATATTGTAAAAGTACAGTCAAAAGAATTTTTGAAAATTATGTCGTAAGTTGGAATTATGGGATTTGATGTAAGTGATAGTAATTTAGTCTATTGTCTCTCAGTATAGTAAATCGGGAATGGGAACAGAGACGAGGACCAAAACATTATCCCTCCCCAAGAACAGGGCGGGGATAGGGATACAAAATTAATATACCTTAGTCCTAATCATTAACCAATAAATAGAATCAGTAAGGGTTGATCCCACAGCGAAGTAGTTGAATCTAAATTCTAATTGTTTAAAATTAAATCCTAAAACTCTCTTGAAAAAAATAAATTCCTAGCTTAAATTGACCTAAATAACCAAAATATAAACTGAGGGGTTTGTAAAATCAAGGAAGCTAATTAATTATCAAAATGAAATTACAAATGAAAACCAATAAAATAACAACTTCAGTTCTCGGTTCAATCTCACCCTTACAATCAATGTATACTCTCAATTGCAACGCAATCCTACCCTTTCATGAAAGTATCAACCCTAGGCAGTAACAAGCTCTACTACTCGAAATTCCTCTGAATTCTGACTAATGAAACATGCTTTTCAACAGTCTCTAATCATTAGACAACCTAAAACAAGTTCTCTAAATTTAATGCACTAGTTGCTTTAAGTTCCAATGAAACATGTTAATCTAAGCAACAATCTCACAAGCTCAAATTATTAAACTTGGGTTTTGTTATTCAAGTAATAAAACGAAAAGTTTATCCACAATGTTTTAATACTAATCATTACTACATGATTAGGAACAGATCGATTACATAATACAATCCCTAATTCTAGCAATTGATATCAATTCAATCAATGTACCAGGTCTAAAGTAAATTAAATGAATCAAACATCATATTTCATTAAAACAGAATAACATTAATCAAATCCATAGAAAGGTAGGTAAAAAATTACATTACTTTATCAATTGTACCATCGATATGTGTCGGAATTGACATCTCCTCGAACTGAATTGAAAAAATTTAGCCAAACGTCTTAAACTGAGAACAAGTATTTCTGAATGAATCTTTTTGTATGTGTTTTTCTCCTTAAAAACCTAATGTTCTATTTATAGCCCCTTTAAATAACCTAAAAACGTGTCTATAGCCTCCCCCAACGGTTTACAACTCAACTTCCTAAATTGTAGGCATTGAGTCATACTCTTTCCAAAACAGGCTGACTAATTCTCTGCTGGAACTTGTGAGCTGATTTCAGGTTAGAAAAAAAATTGAATTCGAGCCTGGGCTTCTCATGAAAGTTGTAGTCTTGTTATAAGCTTTCAAACCTCAAGAAGACCTCTTTCTCATTCCTAAACTCTAAGATCTTCAAAGTCTCCATTGAACCTTCAGAGGTCGAATTTGTCAATGTCTGAAAACTGCACATTATGCTCCACTTTCTTTCGCATGCCTCCATTCATTTCCTAATTCACAAAATATATTAATTAGCTCAATTAATCACAAAATATATCACAATGATTGATATAAATGGATTGAAAAATCATTTATTGAACACTTATCAACTGCCCTTGATATATTTAAATAGTTACAAAAATGCCCTTCATATATATACCCACTTTTTTCCACACACCCAATCTTAAGTACATTTTTTGCCACTCAAGTATCCACTCCACATCCACAGGCCATAGCCAATGTTGTCATGCCGCTCAGAATAAATGTCTTGACCCCTCGTCCTCGCAATGGTACCATCGTCGTGCTCCATTGTGGGATCGATTGCACCTGCTTCATGCATCATCAGTCAAACTAGATCGCACCTAGAGGTGGAACAAATCAATCTGGTTAGGTGGGTCAACCCTAAACTAGCCCGCATTAGAGCGGGCCGGGTTGAACCCAACTCGCATGCAATCCACAGGCGGGTCGGGTTACTATATGGCAACCCGCCAACCCGGCGGGTTGCTATTTTGTTTGGTATGATAGAACCCGCCAACCTGGCGGGTTGGCTGTTGCAAAAATTGTTTTGTTGTCTGCATCGTCAACACTTAACAGCAGAAAAAGCCAATACCAATTGTGGTTGAGCTACATAACCTTCCTTTTTAGCCTTTTTTTTCTCACGTTGCAACCTGAAGTACTCTCTCTTTCATGCTCTGTAACTGTTGGGATTTTCAGGCTGCCCTTCCCGTGGGTAAACACTTACCTTCTTCCTATCAGAACCGTACTTCTCAAATTTCACAAGCCCATCAATCAACGAGAATAATGTGTGGTCCTTCCCAATCCCCACGTTCTTTCCTGGATGAAACTAAAAATTTATACAAAGTCAAATCAATTATTGAAAAATTATATATAAATGGGTAAAATTATAAATTAAGGACGAACCTTGGTGCCGCGCTGATGAACAATAATGGCACTAGGCCTAGCCACCTGATCACCATAAATCTTAACACCGAGGCGTTGACCTAGCGAATCACGGCCATTCTTCATACTGTCGGCTCCCTTTTTATGGGCAGATTCGATGGTTAACGGGAACGGCGTTTGGTGTGGGAGGGAAATGGTGACTGATCTGGGAGCCACGCTGAATTCGCCCATGAAAAATGATGAGGAAGAACTTAACGATAAAGACATACCCTTTTAGACTCATTGAAACTGTGGCCATTTTTGTTTTTTTTTTTTTTTTTCTAAAACTCTTTTTCAGTTGTTGGGTGAAATAAAAAAATTCAAAAGAAGAATAAAAGAAGACTTAGACCTTATCTCGAGTTCAGCTGTGTTACTGCTGCCATGTTATTTTAATTTCTGCTGTTTTAAATTTTGATATGGTAAAAAAAAAATAATAATAATAATAAAAAATGGGGGCTAACCCAGCCCGACCCACAGCCTAACCCGGTGGGTTAGGGTTGGCGGGCCGGGTTGGGCTAACCAATCCCAAAAAAATGGCCGGCCTAACCCGGCCTGCCTTTGTTGGCGGGCAGGTCAGGACCGACCCGCCAAAATGCATAACCCACCATAGGCCGGGTCGGGTCAGGCCGGGCGGGTTACTTTTCCACCTCTAATCGCACCGTGATTATTTACTATAGCGATGACTATTGAAACCAATACATGATTATTTTTCATGTGCATATGTATTACTTGTAATAAGAAATAAAATCTACTACCCATCAATTACTACTTCGGGTGTGTTTGGATCATATAATATTTTGTTATAGGGTAATGTTATATAAATAAAAAGATAGATCACCTGAAAGATTACCGGGAATGTTTAGGGAAATGTGTTTGGTTGGTTTGAATAAATTGGTGAGTATGTTATATTTATATGTTTGGTTGGAATGATAAATGAGTCGGTATGTTATATATATTATTAAATTACCCTCCCTTTTAAATATTAATATAGTATTTTTATTATTATTTTTTGAATCATTTCTTTTAACCCCCTACATTTGAAATTTTGCTAAAACAATCCAACCTTATAAAACTTTAATTTGTAGCAAAATCACCCCCGCCCAGCCCAAGCCACTGTCGGCAGCCAGCCACCACTGCCGGCCGTGTGCAGGCAAAGCCATTTACGTCCATGGATCATGAATCCATGGATGTTTCATGGCCAAAGATGTGGTCGTGAAATGGCCATAAAAATGGCCATATCTGACCGAAAAAGGCCTTACTGGTGCACGATCGCGACTAACACAGGCGGCCGGCGATGGTCTTGAGTGGCTAGGGATATTTTGTTAACTTTTAAACTTTTTTGTGGCTAGAGCGTTTTAGCTAAATTCTCAAATGTGGGAGGCTAGGTTAATGGTTATTTGGTAGACATTTGAGGGCAATTGTGTCTGAAATGGTATTTAATTAAGGGCAAAATAGGTATAAAAATCAGAGTACCTGGTAATCTTTTCATAACACCTCAGGGGGAGGGTATTGGATTACTCCCTACATTATCAACAGTAAATACTATTTACAATAAAAGATACCCGTAATATTTTATTACTTGCAAACCAAACAACGGAATCTTGCAAAATAAACAAAGATTACCCCCGTTATCTTATTTGAACCCGATCTAAATGCACCGTTCAAGGTAATTAATTGTCTTGCTTAAAGCGGAGCTCATTGTTAGAGTAGGTGCCCTAGAGCCAATCCTATTTTGCAAATCGACTCTTTGTAATAATGTTTTATTATCAATAAAGACATTTATCTAGATCATGTGATATGATTATATTCATATAAGAAAATGATATATGTCCTTAGGATGGTAGAACCATGACGAGGGTATTGAGTGTTTGAAATCTCGATAGTGAGAACCCTATGAGCACATATGGTGGCCATTATATAGATGTACATAGCCCCAGTATTATCCTGACCTAGGGCACAGATAATACGGTAAGGCTATCATAGTGTTGGACGACCCTGTCGAAAGGCAGTGATAGATCTCAATAGTCAAGGTTGT